GAATATCCCAAAAATAGTAAAAATCGAAAAATCTTCAAAGCCTATTTTGGTTTCACGAAAGGTAATAAATTTTAGGTTCTCAAACAACAAAATAAGATTCAAGAGCTCCAAATTTACAATGTTTCTCAGTTTCATCTCCAGTAAAAATTTCAATCACACACCAAACTCTCTGTTTGGTAGGTGACAAAATAAAAGTACAATAATCTGAAAATTGAAATCAATTGAGAGATTTGATTGTGTCAAAGTTGCGTTTTATGATAGATTTTGCAGAAGCAACTATTTTGTTAAGTAAAAGTTGTGAGCATTTTCTGAGCAACCAAACATGGCAAAAAGAGGACAGAAGAAAGAAAGGAACCTTTTCAATAGAGGAGAGAGTTGATTGCTCAGGATCAGACGCCATGTCTTGTTGCTAAAGCAAACGCAAGAACAAACTTTGCAGTGGAAGAAGATGACCACTTTCAAATATAAAAAAAAAATGGTCCTGAAATCAGTTTGAATCGTAATTTTGTATTTTTTTGTTTTCTATTAATTATTTCACAGAATCGCTGTTTAAGTTTATAAAGGGCGTACTACATTTATTGCATTTTGAAAGAAAGGGATTGTATTACAAAGGCCAAAATGGTCTTAACAATACCGTAAAAGTTAAATTACATTTTTAACCCTATTAAACAAATAAGCTAAGTACGAAAATACTCACAAATCAAATATAGAAAATACATAAAAAACACAAAAGTAAATTACATATCTACCCCATTCCCCAACCCCCACTCTTCACCTTCCTCCCACGTGCTTTTGCTGCTATACTACCCAACATCACACCCTTTTAACTTTTAATTTTTTATTTTAAGTAATATATATTTTATTTTATTCAAAAAAGAGATTCGATGAAAAAACAAATATTATTTTATTTAAATTTAACATTAAACCTAAAAAAAATGATTTTAAGCTCTTGCTACATAGCTTAAATTATTTAAATTATAAATGATTTAAACTAAAATTTGTAAAAAAAATTGAAATTATTATTTAAGTTCTTTACTTTTAGAAGGTCCTAATACCTTCCATATCTATCTTTAAATACCATTGAATTGACATAAAACAACTATTTTAGATATACTTCATAATATTTCATATAATAATACTCGACGATTAACATTGTTATCAATTAGATTTGAGATGTATCTAAATTATTCCAACTAATTTATGTGGGTCACAAAACAACTATTTTAGTTACGAAACGTGATGGGATTTCAAGTAATGGCTACTTGTTAAAATTTTAAATATTTTTCAAATACCCAAAGAAAGATTAACAAAATAAAATAAAATAAAACTATTATATTTATGATTACGAGTTTATTTATAACATTTTATATAAGGGAATGTCATTTGTATATCATATTATAATACAATTAGCCAATAAAAATATGCCATGTTAATATAAGTAGAGAATATATATATTTTCATTGGTTGATTGTATTGTAACATCATGTATAACATAGAAGTATTTTTCCTTGAGTAATAATAATATTTAATCTTTTTTTTATATATGTTTGTTTAAAACAAAATCAGCTAAATCTCAAAGATGTTTTCAATAGTAAATTTATTTTTAAATTATATGAGTATGCATGGAAATTGGGCTTATATGAGTCCACCAAATATTGGAGCAACTTTATCCTCCACATAAAATTTTTAAGCAAAGTTCAAAGAGTAACTAAAATTATAATCCAATGTTTTAGATAAATAAAGTTAAAAAAAAAATAGTAATTAAAAAGAGATTAAATATATATGATCCAATATTTTAGATGAAAAAATTAAACATTAATAATAAATTTTTTTTTTTTTAGGGTTAATTTTTTTCAGATCCCAAAAGATAATTAAGTCACAAGCGTTTAGCAATTTTTGAAATTTATTAAATACTTTTCTAAAAGTATAAGTCTCATATAAAATACTATGAAACCCCTTAAAAAAAGAATCAAAAAAGGCCATATAAATATTTTCTATGTTTTTAAATCTTATCAATAGTGTTTTTAATACTTTTCGGAAATCATCGTAATGCTTAAAATTTAACTATTCTCAATTACAAATGAAACAAACCCTCATTTTTATATCACGATTCAAACAATAATTGCATTATTATTTAAAGATTAAGATTCATACAATGATTAAATTATAATTTAATGATCAAAGTAGAAAAGGAGGCTTATCTTGGACCCCAAGAATATTTGGTGGTGGAAATGGAAACTTGTCCATCTTTTGCTTCACTAAATTGTTTAAATTGCAAGTGGTCCACAAACTCTCTTATTTCATTATCAATTTGTTTTTTATAATAATCCAAACACAAAATTCATACATTGGTCTTTTGTCATTGCCTCATTAATGTAAAGATCTAGCCACACAACTATGAATAAAATCATACCTGTCAATTTCTAAAGATCTTTCTAGGATTGAATATTTTATAGAATTTTTTTTTTCCCCTCTTAATAGATGTATATACAATCAACTAAAGATGAAATGTAAAGATAACTGTTTTTATGGTTGGATAAAAAATTTAATCAATCAATTAAAGACAGATGGTAAAGAGGGTTGTTTTAACTCGAGGTTGCAAACCTAGTATATCTTTTGAGGAAAAAAAAAAATCAACTTTTAGGCTTAATTTTTTTTAGAAAAAAATTACAAATATAAATATATAAAAGTGTGTTAACATTTTTATTTTATTTCTTTTAGTTTTCTTTATAATAGAATAATCTTTATTTATCATTTACAATATTATATCCATTCTTTTTATTCACCCAATTTAAATTCTAACCTTGATACATTTTTGTTGTATTTATGTGTATATAAATTAGTTTTGAATTATTATTTTTTTAATATTTTTTAGGTAATTATATACAATTATTTTGATTAGTGCCTTCATAAAATATATATCTTTAAGTGAATGAATCATATTTGTTATTGATAATTCTCTTATATCATTGATTTTTTTTTTCTTGTTAATATTTACATTTTTTTTAGTTAAAAAGAAATCTAACACAGTCTAAAAAAGTTGTCTAAATACGTTCTTTTGAATCAATCATAGGGCAAGTTTTTATTACATGCAATGATGTGGCATCTAATGATTGGTTTGTTGCATATATATTCATCATCATAAAATAGTTTTTTTTTTAATAAAATAATATTTCATATTATTTAAAACATGCTTGCTTTACCATTATCTTTCCCTTTTGCTTAACATTTACGAAAATTGGAGAGAGAAAAAAATGACAGTTGAAGTTAGAATTAAAAAAAAAAATTATTAAATACAATCTAAATATAGATTAAAAATTAGACAAAAATTTTTGGAAATCTACTCAATCAATAAATAAAATTCTCACTATTTAATGTTCTTGTCTGGTCTAATCAAGCTAAAAAATAAATGCCCAACTCTGATAATGCATTTTGCAAATGATCTAAATTTGAAAAACAAAAAGCATTTCTTTGTGGCTGCCCCCACTCTCTTTTGTTCTCTTTTGAGCTTTATGAGGAATGCTCTCATATAAGGATGGGTGTTTAACCCGCCCCGGGGACCTGCCCCGCCGTCCGCACATTTATTAAAATTTTATTTTTTTCTTTTATTAGATTTTGTATAAAGTGAGCATCTTATAATTTAAGAATTTAGATTTTAAGTCATGTATCAAAATTTGTAATCATTATTTTGAATTTATTATTGCATATTTTAATTATGAAATAAAAGTTACTTAAGATGAAATGGTATGATTAATATCAAATGTTTTTCAAAACTTTTTATAATATTTAATTAAAAATTTTATTTTTATTTAATGGTTTACAAAATTACAAATTACAAAGGCTTGATGAATTATGTATCTCTAATTATATTAATAATTTCTTATTATTTAAAAATTCAAATTAATAAGTAATTAGATAAAATAATTGATCTATGCTTACCATCTTTGATTATGATAAAAAAATGTTATCAATCTTGCGTGCATTTTTTATTTTGATAGATAGTAATTAACATAAGAAAGTTTTGTAACCATATATATATATGTAAGGAATATGAGCGGGGCAAATTCCCCTGCATGTAGGGGTCGGGATGGAGACGCCTCCATCCCTAATAATTTTAGAGTAATGTTTTGTGCACTAACTAAATTATACTAATCCAAGTACTAATAATTGAAATTAAAATTTTTTTTTTTTTTTTAGTTTTTTAGGAGAACTGACGTGACAATAAGAGAGATCTGTCACATCAGTTAGTACTTAAGTTAGTATGGTTTTGGTTAGTGTACATAGCATTATTCATAATTTTATTAGGCTGATATTAGTCCAATGCTAAATCGATACAAAATTAATGAATAGATTGGGAAATATTGTCCTAATTACTTCTATTGATTCTACTGAAAGAGAACATAAATTAATTAATTTAATGTCAACTCATTAACTATTAACACTACGGAATTCCAGCAGTTGCATAATTTACAGAAAGTACGTAAAAGATTTAAGTTATTGTCTTTTGACACTTTATAATACTCGTGCTACACTGCTATTTATTTGAATTTAAACTTATAACAAATCATGTTGTTTTCAATATTTTTACTCTGATACAAGATCAAGACTTGATTTTGTGATTACACAATCCTGGTTTTTAAGAGGTTAATTCAGCCATGAAATTCAACAAAACATTTTATACATATAATACAAAATTTATACAATCCTGATTTCATTAACTTTGTCTAAAACTAAGCAATTCAATCAGTTTTCAGATTCATAAGAAGCCTTGAAATTTAAAGAGTTTTCATCAAGTCCAACAAATTTTATTCAAATCCTATAAAATCTATGCTTATTCTTCAAACAGATACCAATCTGCATAATATAAATCAAATCTCAAGGCCTATAGTTAAACCTCTTCAGGTGTATAACACATTCTATTATGAGTTCACCCACCACGCATCAGCGTCGAATATTGCACGCAAAAATATGGTGCCCAGGAGCTTTGAAAAAGAAACAAGGAAAAAGAAAAAGAGTTCTTATACTTGTTGAAGATAAGAAAGAAATATGACAATATCATTTGATAATACTTGAAAGTTAGTCCCGACAACCAGTATATGAAGTTGTTAGGCGACAGCTTGTTGGGGTAAACATATGCAAAATCTACTGCTTCAACCAAGTACAAGATGTACTATTCATGGAAATGAGAAGTAATAATTCAGAATGTGCACGAGAACAGAAAGTCGACAAAGAAATTACTGGGTCTTGGTGGGTTGCCAGGATTGGTACCTGGACCAGTCTCTCTGCCCAGGATTGAGGGCATGTCCCTTGGAATGGTAAATATACTCCTCACCCTCTCCGGATAAGTTTTGCTGGTGCTCAACGCCATATCTCTTCGGTTTCAGCATCAGAAGCTGCAAGAAATACATTTTCATTATAAATTTATGCTTTATGGTATTATTTTAAAAAAAAAAATTGGACTGAGACTTGCCTCGTCTCCTGTGTGATCAGTTATGTGGTGGAGCCAACCGTGCCATTCTGGTGGCACCTGAGATGCATTGTAGCGACTCTTCTCGGCATATTCGACCCACCTGTGTCTTCCTGGAGAAGGGGACGAGCATGTTAAAAGCTGTATAGAATGCAACATGAATATAGTGATGACAAATTTGAATATGCTCAGCTTGGCTCCTAAAGAGTGTAATAACTGCCCCTAAATATTTTACACATGTACTAAAAAAAATGAAATTGCATACCCACTTTTATTTTGATCAAACATCAGGGAAGGACAACAAAATTATCTAATATGAAATAAAAATGTCGAAGAAATAAGAGACATTGCTTAGTCGGTTCTTATATATGCTGAACCAGTCCATAAGTTTTGTAAAGAATAAGATCCAGAAAAATGGGCCCGTGCTAGTGAATTGCCAATGTTACATTGGAGACAATGATACAACATTATTATTGAATCATCTAAAAAACACCTAGATCATCATAAGGGGGCATGTAACATGAGTATGTATACATAGCACATGATATGTATACATGGCACATGAAAACCCTTTTCAATTGAAAAAAAGGTCTTTCAGAAAAAAACTCATCATCTTCACACTGAGTATTTTTTAGCAACTCCCTTATAGCAACACAACTACTTAGAAAGGTCCATAAGGTGAAGCAATCTTATTTGCTATTGCATCATATGCAAATAACAAGTTATATTCGTTGATAGTATGCAATAACACGGACCCAACTGAGTAAATATTGTCATATTTAGACTTCAATTAAGTATTCTTAACCTTCATAGAATTGCTTTTGAATTTACAAACATCATTAATCTAAAATGCATCTACTTATTGAAAGGACCCAAAACTTATAACTAGCCTATTGTCATGTACTTAGTTCTTTGTTTAAGTTTCGTGTAACCTTAACATTAGGAGATGGTGTTAAGCAGCCTTACCATTAGGAGAAACTCAATGACTAGAAATAACGGGAAATGAATAGGAAAAAAGTATAGAGAAAATGATAAACTCTATTGGTTGAGTTGTTGGATCCTACACATTACATTTACACAAAATGGAGTGTCCTATTTGTTGGGGTGAACCTCCTAAATGAAATGTCTATATACAATGAATCTTTCATGCCTAAGTTTCCTACAACTTGCATGCTAGTTGGCAATAAGCAGGTCTTGTGATGGCTGCGATGGCTTAAGCATGAGGTGATTACATCTTGACAAGAGGTGGGTGCAGTGGCATGAGGTGGTTGCAGCTTTCTTAGCCATGAAGTTTCTTTAATGGTAAAAAACCAAATAACCTCTTTCAAGCTTTCTTACCCATGAAGAAACTACTTGATAGCTTCTAGGAAATTGTTGTGTAGGTTGCGCATGACATTGTGCAGGGACAAGGGCAAACATTGGGACAAAAGCTCCAACAAACCCCGCAATAATTGTTTCGTCTACAATGGACCTCTCCTTAGCCAAAAAGTTCCTTAGCCATGAAGTTCCCTTAGTGGTGAAGAACCAAATAACGTCCTTAAAACTTTTTACCAACGAAGAAATTGCTTAGTAGCTACTAGGAAGTTGCTATGCAGACTGCCCACGGCATTGTGCAGGATGCTCATGTCATCGAGCAGGCTGCTCGTGACACTCTCCCGCACCTATTGCAACAATGCCTTCGTCGCATTATCATTGTAGCGTTAAATTGAGTCTTGAAATTGCTATAATGACTCATTGATTTCCTAGCTGGCTTCAGTGGCGACTAGTCCTTTCCACTTATACTCCTGGTAGTCTATGGACATGCACAAGGAACCATCCTTCTTCCTCATAAATAAGACTGGTATGCCATAAGGAGCTTTGGAAGGCCTAATAAACCCTATATCTAATAGTTCCCTTAGTTTCACTAGCTCTGGTGGTGTCATGCGGTAAGGACCCTTGGCACGTGGCTTGGCGCCTAGTTCTAACTCAATTTGGTGGTTTATCTCCTTCTTAGGTGGTAGTTCCTTTGGTAGTTCGTTCGGTGAGACATCTGCAAACCCTTCGAGTACTTCTACTACCTATTGTAGCATTGCCTCTTGTGGGCTTGGCTCCTTGTCATCGTATCGCTTAAGGATGGCCAGGTGTCAGGTAGCTTTCCTCTTTCTTCTTGATGTCTTTCTTGAACTGCATGGCCGAGAGTACCGTCGTCTCTGGCTTTATAAAACAGCTGGTGGGCAATAAGCAATCCTGCTCTCCGACCATGATACACATGGTGCTGGCGAAAGGCATGGGAAATGCCTTCATTTGATCCATAAACTCCAACCCGAAGACAACTTGGTAGTCTTCCATTAGCGCGACTGAGAAGTCTATGTGACCGGACCAAGTTCCCATGGTGGTTTTAACCCTTCATGCTACTCCATGGATTAGTTGTGTCGCCGAGTTGACTGGTTTGATGGTGCCCCCTTCTCCTAAGGCTTTAAGGCCTAGCCGGAGTGCTTCGTTCACTAAGACAAAGTTGTGTGAAGCCCTTGTATCTACCATGGCTTTTGTAACCTTTCTATTGATAGCAATGTCAACGTAAAGCCACTTTTGGCTTTACGTTGACATTGATGTCTAGTCATTAAATTCCATTGTAGATGAAACAATTATTGCGAGGTTTGTTAGAGCTTTTGTTCCTACGTTTGCCCTTGTCCCTGCACAAGCATCTTGCACGATGTCGTGGGCAGCCTGCATAGCAACTTTCTAGAAACAGCTAAATAGTTTCTTCGTTGGTAAGAAAGTTTCAAAGGGGTTATCTAGTTCTTCACCACTAAGGGCACTTCATGACTAAGGAACTTCCTGGCTAAGGAACTTCAGTGCTAAGACCATTGTAGCCACCTCATGCTTCAACCATCCCACAATCTGTTTATTGCCAACTAGCATACAATTTGTAGGAAACTTAGGCATGAATGATTCATTGTGTATAAACATTTCATTTGGGAGGTTCCACTCAATAAATAAGACAGTCCACTTTGTGTAAATGTAATGTATAGGATCCAACAATTCAAGCAATAGAGTTTATGATTTTCTTTATACTTCCTTCCTACTCATTTCCCACTATTTCTAGTCCGTGAGTTTGTGTGAATTTAAGGTTGTTTAACACTATCTCTTAGTGCTAAGGCCGCATAGAACTTAGGCAAAGAACTAAGTACGTGACACAATGCTCAAGTGCTCATTCACTAGAGATGTAGGATGTAACAAACTTCCCACCTCATGAACATATGTTTTCATGAGGTTTTGTTACTCCATAACATTAGGCCGTGAGCCCTTTCCAATACCAATTGTAGCAATGCGAACCCAACTAAGTACTATTGTTAGAAGTTCACACAAGTATCCTTCATCCTCACAAATTTGCTTATAGATTTCACACGAATATTCAAATATAAAAATGACTCTACTTGATTGAAGCAAACCATGACTTAAAACTAACTCAAACTATCATTGGCTAACTATGTGGAATATGACACAGTACACACAATACATGTGATTTAGTAGCAAAAGAAGAAAAATATAAATAGTATATAAATTAAGAAGATATAGAAATAGAGAGAGAAAATAAAAGGCCCCCAAGGACTTAGCCTGGTGGTTTACTAGTCACTTTCTTTGGTTGGGAAATAAAAGAATATAAAAACGAAGAAATGGGAGAACTCCAAAAGAATTGTAAAGGAAAAAAGAATCAGAAAAACTATGAGAGAAATAGATCATCTTTATGTAAAAACTGATTCTCATTTTTATTAAACAATCAAGCAAAGCCAACAATAATAATATAAGTCTTTACTTAGAAGCTTATGAAATAGAAACCTTATCCTAATTAAATACAAAATAAAGTCTAAAACTACTCAAAACAAAACAAACTCTAAGATAACTTTGACAAATCGATCCCTAAGATAAATAAAACAAACTACTAAAATAACCTAAAATCTATGCTATTCTTCCTGCATCAACATGTCTATGAATCACAAAACAATTGTTCTTGGAAATAGTACCTTGGCCTGTTGCATGATTACATTGACAATAAAAAAAGGAGACCTTCCTCAAACAATTGTTATAATGTAGTAATAGTTGCAAAAAAAAGGTGAAACCTGATCACAACTTGTTTCAAAAGAATGACCTCTTTCTATTGGGAAAAAGGTTTTCTCTTATGTGAATTAGGTTGCATAAATAGTATTGCCACATGTCCTCCTATGATTGGCAAAGGTTTATTTTAATCGCACAATCAACTTTGTAACTTTCAACAATTGTAAAATTATTACAACTTGCTCATAAAAAGCAAAAGAAAACACTTGAGAAAAATTGAGATGATATTTGGTTCATGATCTACATACAATTTTCAGAAACTAGAATATAATTTGGACATAAGCTCAAATACAACAAAGATAACTCTTGATTGTTTTCATATTTTGAACTATAATTAGTATTTTATTTGAAAACTATTTTATGAAAAATTCCAACTAAACCCATTTTCTACTTAAGATGTTTTGAATCCCTTTTTTTCATAAAGAAAAGTAATATGTTGATTGAAAATAGAAAGCCTCTCGAATTTTCTTTTTCTCCCCAATATTAAATGTGACAACAAATTATATGATGCTTAAAATGCAAGTCTTTTTCTAATAGTCAATCTCTTTCATGTAGTAAAATAACATCGCTGCAGGATTTAAAAATCAATAGCAATGCACAAAATAAAGAAAAATACAAATGGTGTAATCATTCATTCAGATGAAAAAATTTTCTTAAATTTTCAATTAATATTGCCAGTTCAATTATGGCATAAGGCATCAAAGGGAAAGGAAAAAGAAACACTAACCATGTTGAGTGTCTCCATACTTCTCATAATACTTATTACCAAATTTATCAACTCCAACAAGTGTTGCCCCTATATTGTGGATTTTGGTTTGCCTGAATAAATCAAACATACTGTAACTAACCATGCTGAAGATAAAGGGTGATGAAAGATGCAAACAGTAACATTGAAATAAAATATCATGGAAACAAATATATCAAGAAATCAACTTGGACAAAAAACTAATAAAATTTGTAGACCACATATATGGAATTGAAATAAGACGCAAGAATATTCCACCAAATGATGCACAACAAAAGTTCACTTTGCTTTAAATTTGTCACATCAGAGACTGCCTATCACACCCATGCCAATGGCCTTTTTACAAAAATTGGCAAGGTTAACATGGATCTTTTAAAAAGGTAAACAAGAGCACACACGGAACAGTCTTAAACTGCATATCCCAGCCATGATCTTGCACGATGTCGTGGGCAGCCTGCACAGCAACTTTCTAGAAGCAGCTAAATAGTTTCTTCGTTGGTAAGAAAGTTTCAAAGGGGTTATCTAGTTCTTCACCACTAAGGGAACTTCTTGACTAAGGAACTTCCTGGCTAAGGAACCTCAGTGCTAAGACCACTGTAGCCACCTCTTGCCAAGATGCAGCCACCTCATGCTTCAACCATCCCAAGATCTGCTTATTGCCAACTAGCATGCAATTTGTAGGAAACTTAGGCATGAATGATTCATTGTATATAAACATTTCATTTGGGAGGTTCCACTCAATAAATAAGACACTCCACTTTGTATAAACGTAATGTGTAGAATCCAACAATTCAAGCAATAGAGTTTATGATTTTCTTTATACTTTCTTCCTACTCATTTCCCACTATTTCTAGTCCTTGAGTTTGTGTGAATTTAAGGCTGTTTAACACTATCTCCTAGTGTTAAGGCCGTACGGAACTTAGGCAAAGAACTAAGCACATGACACAATGCTCAAGCTCTCATTCACTAGAGATGTAGGATGTAACAAACTTCCCACCTCATGAACATATGTTTTCATGAGGTTTTGTTACCCCATAACATTAGGCCGTGAGCCCTTTCCAATACCAATTGTAGCAATGCGAACCCAACTAAGTACTATTGTTAGAAGTTCACACAAGTATCCTTCATCCTCACAAATTTGCTTATAGATTTCACACGAATATTCAAATACAAAAATGACTCTACTTGGTTGAAGCAAACCATGACTTAAAACTAACTCAAACTATCATTGGCTAACTACGTGGAATATGACACAGTACAGACAATCCATGTGATTTAGTAGCAAAAGAAGAAAAATATAAATAGTATATAAATTAAGAAGATATAGAAATAGAGAGAGAAAATAAAAGGCCCCCAAGGACTTAGCCTGGTGGTTTACTAGTCACTTTCTTTGGTTGGGAAATAAAAGAATATAAAAACGAAGAAATGGGAGAACTCCAAAAGAATTGTAAAGGAAAAAAGAATCAGAAAAACTATGAGAGAAATAGATCATCTGTAGGTAAAAACTGATTCTCATTTTTATTAAACAATCAAGCAAAGCCAACAATAATAATATAAGTCTTTACTTAGAAGCTTATGAAATAGAAACCTTATCCTAATTAAATACAAAATAAAGTCTAAAACTACTCAAAACAAAACAAACTCTAAGATAACTTTGACAAATCGATCCCTAAGATAAATAAAACAAACTACTAAAATAACCTAAAATCTATGCTATTCTTCCTGCATCAACATGTCTATGAATCACAAAACAATTGTTCTTGGAAATAGTACCTTGGCCTGTTGCATGATTACATTGACAATAAAAAAAGGAGACCTTCCTCAAACAATTGTTATAATGTAGTAATAGTTGCAAAAAAAAGGTGAAACCTGATCACAACTTGTTTCAAAAGAATGACCTCTTTCTATTGGGAAAAAGGTTTTCTCTTATGTGAATTAGGTTGCATAAATAGTATTGCCACATGTCCTCCTATGATTGGCAAAGGTTTATTTTAATCGCACAATCAACTTTGTAACTTTCAACAATTGTAAAATTATTACAACTTGCTCATAAAAAGCAAAAGAAAACACTTGAGAAAAATTGAGATGATATTTGGTTCATGATCTACATACAATTTTCAGAAACTAGAATATAATTTGGACATAAGCTCAAATACAACAAAGATAACTCTTGATTGTTTTCATATTTTGAACTATAATTAGTATTTTATTTGAAAACTATTTTATGAAAAATTCCAACTAAACCCATTTTCTACTTAAGATGTTTTGAATCCCTTTTTTTCATAAAGAAAAGTAATATGTTGATTGAAAATAGAAAGCCTCTCGAATTTTCTTTTTCTCCCCAATATTAAATGTGACAACAAATTATATGATGCTTAAAATGCAAGTCTTTTTCTAATAGTCAATCTCTTTCATGTAGTAAAATAACATCGCTGCAGGATTTAAAAATCAATAGCAATGCACAAAATAAAGAAAAATACAAATGGTGTAATCATTCATTCAGATGAAAAAATTTTCTTAAATTTTCAATTAATATTGCCAGTTCAATTATGGCATAAGGCATCAAAGGGAAAGGAAAAAGAAACACTAACCATGTTGAGTGTCTCCATACTTCTCATAATACTTATTACCAAATTTATCAACTCCAACAAGTGTTGCCCCTATATTGTGGATTTTGGTTTGCCTGAATAAATCAAACATACTGTAACTAACCATGCTGAAGATAAAGGGTGATGAAAGATGCAAACAGTAACATTGAAATAAAATATCATGGAAACAAATATATCAAGAAATCAACTTGGACAAAAAACTAATAAAATTTGTAGACCACATATATGGAATTGAAATAAGACGCAAGAATATTCCACCAAATGATGCACAACAAAAGTTCACTTTGCTTTAAATTTGTCACATCAGAGACTGCCTATCACAGCCATGCCAATGGCCTTTTTACAAAAATTGGCAAGGTTAACATGGATCTTTTAAAAAGGTAAACAAGAGCACACACGGAACAGTCTTAAACACATTGGGTGATGGGAGAAGAACTGTGCTTCCAAACATATGCACGTCATAAAATTAGCAAGCACAAAACACTTTAAAGAGAAAACCCAAGGTTTTCTATCACCATTGACTAAATATATCAATATTCAAAAATAAAAACTCAACTGGTCAGAAACAATTATGTGCAGTTTGGATTGGGAATGCAAATCATGAAAAGTTGCATGCAATGATCTTAAATACCATGGTTCTCCTCCTTAATTTTCAGCCTAACTTATTGGTAAATAAAGAGAAAGTTTCCTTATAGTAAACCTGAACTTCAAGCAAGACTACAAGTAGAACTAAGAGAGCTTATCAATGCTAAAAATATAGAGCATCCACAAAGACAACACCGATGTCCTTCCACAGCTTCCTTTGATTTCCAATAAATTCTATTCACGCTTCAGATTCTACAAAAAGCCACATTAAAATTTTAAAAAAATTATTCAATATCATCTTCTACATGCTCAGTCCTATAATATGCCATAAGGAATTCTTTCCTTAAGCATATTACTCTTATAACCATGATATCCACTTGATTTATAATACTTCTGAAAGTTCCAAATCGCAAAAAGTTTCTGCAGCTCCACAAACTGCAGAAAGTGATACACATTGCTCTGGAAATAGCAACCCAGCAGACAAACAAGGTGGAATTATTGACTAGCTTCATACGTTTTAAGTCATTACACTACATATGGGCTCCCCATCAAACCTAGGAGGAATGCACATAGACTACATTTAGGCACAGCTAACTGGGCCATCCATTCATAAAAACTGAAGCATGGGTATATCCTACGATATATTTAAGGAACAAAGCTAAAGCCCTACCATCAATTTAAAGGTTGTTAACACAAACAAAAACTTATACTGTAAGAATGATCAATGTATCAACAAAATTCAAGAATAAAAACTCCTGCTAATGAACAGAAATTTCAATAAAAAAACTGTAACATACATATACATAGTCATCAAAGATAATGAATATCACGTCATATCCTTATAACAAAATGAAATGTCATATCCTCATACAAAAGGAATTCACTATAAAATACAACAAAATGGATGTCGCAGTTACAAGAATAGATGATAGATCAGCCTCCTCCATATATCCAAGAAAAGAAATTATGATTTCTTTTATTCTTTTTTCTCTTAGATTTGCAAAACCACCCATCAGGGCTGTTGTTAACCAATGTTTGTAAGCCTATTCTCAAAATATCTAAACTTTCCGCTGTAGTAATAGACGCATTGATATCCATGTCACGTTTCTTTTGCAGAGACTTAAATATCTACTTATCCTAAGGTTTTTACCAATATTTCTACTAAATACAGTAAAACCTCTCTATAGTCATAATGTTGGGACTAACTAATTTTATTACTATAAAAAGGTTATAACTTAATGGAAGTATAGTTACAAAAATTATAGTTTTGATTTACTGTTTTATAATTCATGTTTTAGTAGTACAGTATTAGGATTTGAATTCATATTTTAGTAATATTAAGATTTCAATACAACGTTTCAATTACCTACTTTTGAAACAGATAAAAGATCGTTTCTTAGAACCAGCAAAAATAAGTGTCATTGATGGAACTGTAAATACAGTTGATGCATGGTCAATTGATGTGAAGCCACAGACAATTGTCAATGGTTTTAAGCGCTGCAAAATTATGACCACTAACGTCAATGAATTATAAGTTACAAATGAAGTGGATGAGAAGAATAAAAGAGTCACTATAGAATTGAGTGATCAGATTCGACAAATTCACTACACTAATCGAATGGATATCAATGTCTTCTTCGATTATCCAAATGAGCAACAAATTGTATATACTTTAACTAAATGAGAAGTCATGGTTGCAATTAGACAATAAGAGAAAGGAGATAATCCTAAGGATAATAGTACGAAAATACAAAAAATCTTGTGCCATGAAGCTTTAAACATGCTTGAGAAACTAAAAATATTTTGGCTTCAACAAGAAGGTATCCAAGCTAACGAGCTATTACGTACTCGTAAGGTAAAAGATGTGATAACAACTCTAAAATATAAATCATTGTCCTAAACAATTTTAAATAAATATTTTATTTAATTTTAAACCTTTAATTTTACATAACATATATTTTTTTGTATATGTTATTTTTTTGTAATATACAAATAATTATTACTATGTGGAGGCAACTTTCCTTAAAGTGGGAATTAGAAAAATTATAACTTATTACAATATAGAGTTTATTCTTATTTATAACTATTCCAAATTATACTATAATTTTTTTATGACTATGTAGAGTTTACTCCTGAAGTATTACTATAGAGAGGTTTTATTGTACAAACATTCAAAATAAATGTTCAATACTTCAATTCTTCGTTAAAGATAGCCTAGAAAAATGCTAATTCATGTTCAGCAGACGAAATCTCGAGAATCAGAAGCAAATAATAAGAAAGACTAACATGAAAACCTCACCACAGCCAACAAAACCATCAAATTTAACGCCTACAAAGCACTTCATTCACGAAATCATCTAAACAACAAAACCCCAACTGAATATTGGCAAAGAAATTTGACTTACAAGAGATTTCCATCAAAAAGCACATTCCTGAAACACACAAATAGCAACAAATTCCGCAATTAATTACAATTTCAAAGATAAAATAACTGGGCAAACACATATACGTGCCGAATCTGAAAATAACTGGGCAAACACATATACGTGCCGAATCTGAAACATTTCACATGAAACGTCGAGATTGATGTCGTTTTATACGAATTTTCTTCAGATTTTTAAGCGTTTTGAGTTGTATCATTGTAAAGTGACAAAAAGAGACTTACAAGAAGCCTGTTTCCTTAAGGTCTCGCAGGAAGGTGCCGAGACCCCTCACTTTGACCGACTTAAAAGCGCTTTTCACTCCACTCGCCATCTCTCGTCTCTCCCGTCTCTCTGTTTCTCGTTCTAGTTATTTTTCGATTATATCATAAATTGTTTTTCTTTTATTCCCTGGTTTTGGCTAAAAATAAATTAAGTTGGGAGATTTTAATAATTTATATAAAAATAAGCCACTTTTAACTTAGATGTACCAAAAAGTCCTTGCACAATATCTTTATTGTCTTAACTATTGTTGAGTATTATTATTTAGTATATGTCTAAGTAAAATAAGAATATTACGTCATTCATATATTTACATATTTTTATATGTTATAAAGATGAACCTCATATCCTATTTAATGATTCTTTGTCTTGAATCAAATAGTGAAGGAATTTTTTTTCTTTATACGTCTCATTTACATTTAATACTCTTATATCTTCAGAGTTTTTTAAAGTATTATTGTTTTATAATTTATATTTATTTTGAAAGTAAGCAACAATGACGGTGGTATAATTCTACAACATTTACCATCTATATATTTACTCCAAAATTAATTAATTAAAATGATAATTAAAATAACGAAAAATATAATTAAAAATAAATATAGGGAAGATAGAATATTATTAAGTGGACTTATAGATTATAAGATAAATTCATTCTATTTAAGACTTTCCTTTTGGTAAATGGTAATTATATAAAGAATAAAAATTACATCTATAGTGTATTTGATTTAGAGAATGTTTTATTATTGAGAATGTTATAGAATTGAAAGATAAATTACCTTAAAAATTACTGGGAATGTTTAGGAAAATGTGTTTGGTTAATTATAATAAGTTTGGTTGAGAGAAATAAATTGGTGGGTATGTTATGTAATTTAATAAATTGCCCTCATTTTTTTAATATGTATTAATATAATATTATTTTTTAATAATTTTTAACTCCCTACGTTTAAGATGTTGCTAAAACACCCTAGCAGCTAAGAAAGTTTAAAACTTAACAAAAACACCCCACCCACCCCAAGCCACTGTCACTATCGCCAGCGGTAATGGCTGTAATAGTGCACGACTTGCCGAATTTGGCCGGCCATATGCTGGAAATGGACAGATCTATTGCCAAAGTTTTGATAATTTGGTTGTCTGGCTGTCGTTAACAACCAGAAGCCGTAGATCTGGCTAGAAACGACCATAATTGATCTGGCCATTTTTGTCTAGATTTACGATGATTTGACAGTTTCCGTCCTAACCCAGCCAATCATGCGCCATTAAGGAGCTGATGTTCGACAATCGACAGTGGTGGCTGGCCATCGGTCATCAACAGTGATGGGCAGATTTGGCCTGGGTAATTTTTTTGAAGTCTAAGGGCATTTATGTCCTAAAAATTTTGTATATAAAAATAAATTAGTTCATTAGTATTTTTGTAAATTGTTTTTAAAACAAGGGCATTATTGTTGAAATTTTTTAATAATTATGGGTAAAATTATAACAAAAATAAGATTAATAAGTAATCTTAAAATACTTAAGAAAATTGAGGTAATCAGATTACCTCCTATATTTCCAACAATAATTATTATTGGTCTTGGGAGATTACCGAGATCTTATATTACGTGATAACCAAACGTGGTAATCAAGTAATATAAGATGACATTACCTCAATAATCTTCCATTACTCCGAATCAAACATAATCTTAAAGAAGAAAAAAACTCCCTAGCACCCCGACCCTAGGATAAAAACCAAGGGAATATTAAATGGTGATCAATGGTATGCTAGACCAATTTTGTGTTGAACCAATATTTTAATTCGTTTATGCAATAATTAGTAAAAATTCTTACATTTTTATTTGGCTCCTTGATTCTCTATTTTTTTTTTCTTACTAGAAAAGGTAAATTACTAGATATTTTCAAACATAACCATCTCGATATTTCATGTAACAAAAATATTAAGATTTTATTTAAAAACCATGTCTTCAACCCATTTCTAAAGCCTTGTTTGGATTAAGAGATTCTAAATGAATGATTTCGTTATATTTATGAATTTGGTAAAATCCTTCGTTTGGTTTAAAAAAAAAAAAAAATATATTGAAATCCTTGGATTTTGGAAAATCCACCACCCTCTAGAATCCTTCATTTTTTAGGGTTTTAAAATCTCACATGGTAGGTGGGATTTCGGCAAATTCATTAATTTTAATAAAATGAGAGATTTTGTTAATATTTTAACTTTTTAATACTATCCTTGTTAATAATTTAATATCTCAGTAATTATCCTTTACTCTAATTAAAAAAAATATATTTGTCGTTCTCTCTTTTTTAGCTCTTCACCTTTATATCATCAACATCTTCAAAGCATATTAGAGAAATTATTTGCAATATATGTATGGTTATGTTAAATGTTTTAATATGAAATTATTCAACTATTCAAGTTATCATAAATGAAGATGGTTGATAATATATTATATTAACTTGGAATTCTATTCTTTTTTTACCAAATCACAAAAAATCATTTATTATAATTGAGTTTCTTTATCAAATATAATTTAATTTGTATTTAATTAGATAAAAGTTGAATTTTTGTTCGTTTTGGGTATTGAGGGTAAAGTTGAAAATTATTTATCAAATCTATGAATTGTATTCATCTAACTAAACATGAGTATAAGAATTTGAATCAACAAACTATATATTTTACATTTAAACCAAATAATAGAATTTATCAAATACATGAATTTTGAATCCATAGATAGTACAAATTCCATAGATCTTAAAATCTTTCTCTTAAGATAATTATTTGAAATTATAGGGATAGATCATCGGCTGTGGCCCAAAACTTGTCCAGCCCATCAGTTTCAGTCAGAACCAGACCTATCAAACAGGCCGACCGCACTTAAACGCACGTGGCAACCGCCCATTGGTCAAGATGACGCCAAACACAAATACATAAACAAACAAATAATTTCCTTCAAAATTAAAATTTTTCTCCACTTTCCTTCATTGAAAATAATAGATTCTCAAAGCCTAGTAAGTAACTCTTGATTTCTTAATTAATCTTAGGTTTTTTACGCTTTCGATTTCATTTTCTTCAATTTAGGGTTTCTCTGGTGATAAATTTTTAATTTTTTGTTCCATTTTTGCCTAATTACTTGCTTAGATTTTACGATGAAAGAATAAGAATCAGGAAATATTGAGAGTAATTTTTAGGTTTTAATTCTATTAATTTTAACTTTCCTTCACTTTCTCGGCAACCAAACAGAAGATTAGCTAGTTCTAGATCGGTGCTTAGATTGAATTGGTGTAATTTTAATTTGTTTGGGTTAGGTTATTGTTGAAAATATGTTTATTGATTGAATTATATTGTGTGACAGCGGCTGTTTCGAAATGGTGAGGCTGCCAACGTACGCGGGGTGTAGTTTAACGCTTACTATAGCTGTTATTTACCATGCTTTTAGTAGTAGAAAACAATTCTATCCTGCTATGGTTTATCTATCAACTTCTAAGATCAGTTTGGTGCTGCTTCTGAATATGGGTTTGGTGGTAATGTGTGTCTTGTGGCAAATGATCAAACGGTTATTCCTTGGCACTCTCCGGGAAGCGGAGGTTGAAAGGTTGAATGAGCAGTCTAGGAGGGAGATCATGGAGATTCTGTTTGCAATTACTATATTTCGGCAGGACTTTTCGGTTTCGTTCCTTGCTATGGTTACTACACTGTTGTTGATCAAAGCTTTGCATTGGTTGGCTCAGAAGAGGGTGGAGTACATTGAGACGACCCCAACTGTCCCCATGTTGTCTCATGTTCGGATTGTTTCTTTTATGGGTTTCCTTCTTCTTCTGGATTCTCTCTTTTTGTATAGTTCCGTTAAGTTCTTGATACAAACACGGCAGGCTTCTGTTTCTCTCTTCTTTTCGTTTGAGTAAGTTATATATGCTCATTCTTTTCTTCTTTGTTCTTCTTATTGTCACCATTACTTTTTAATAGTTCATAAGTGCGGATTTTTTAAATGATAATAATAATATTATTATTATAATTCTCTTTTGTGTACATATACTTATATGCCTGAGTTTAAGGTTATTAATTGGTATAGGCGCATACTCATGACATTGAGTGGTCATGTCTGATAAATATACATCTACGTGCTTGATTTTACCAAAGAGCATGATAGATCTTAGATGATACTTTGAAAGCTGCGTTTAGGGCTTAATGTTTATAACAATTGTTGTTTCCAAAATAGAGGTTGGAGAATGTCAACAAGTTTTGGTTAAAATATGATCATGACATGAAGTGACAACTGGTTCTTTTTATTTATTGAAAGCATAATATGATTTCTTAGGGTTCTATTATAAATAAACTCAAATTGATATTTGAAGTTGATATATATGGACCTGTTTTTTGTCATTGATTGGAGCCTTGGTGATATAAAAGAAAGTTGAAATTTTTCCCTTAGAGCACTTAGTTCTGTTCTATGGTGGTCTGGGTTATGCTCTAGATAAATTTGTTCCTTCTCATAATGTTTATCTTCTTTGAATACCTCAATATTTTTAAGTGACATGTTATTCATGCTTGTTTTGGATTATTTGAGAAATAAGATTTCTTGTTATTTTTAGCTGGTAATTTGGAAAAGCTAAATTAATTTGGTGTTTATATTCGAAATTAGATGAACACAATTTGAACAACAAAAAAATATTAGTGACCCATGTTATGGCCTTATGGGTCACCCATAACATGGATGAAAGGGAATATATTTTTTGTAGTTACATAAGGAATGCATTATTGGTTGTTTTGCATTGCACTAATGACTATAACTTTTGTGTTAGGTACATGATACTGGCAACAACAACGGTGTCGATATTTGTAAAGTATATTTTCTATGTGAGTGACATGCTTATGGAAGGGCAATGGGAAAGAAAGGCTGTTTACACCTTCTACTTGGAACTTATCCGTGACTTGCTTCATTTATCCATGTACCTTTGCTTCTTTCTTGTGATATTTATGTAAGTAATTCATGCGGCTTCAGTTTTTGCTTAATTATGTGTTTTTTATATGGCATTCATAGATTGCATGTGGACTTCACTAATATATGCACACCAGTTGAGATATAAACTTTTTTTCAGTTATTCTCAAGATTGTGTTTGAATTCACACACCTAATGCTACTGTTGGACTATTGTGTCCTATTGGTGCTTGATCCTTAAGTGTTTTCACGAGATTATTTGTTCTTTCACAACTGATGTTTGTTTAATATTGCTTTTATATAAGACTTTTCTGACATATTCATTGTTGCCTCATTTGACTGTAGTACCTATTTGTAAAGGTTATGCTTTTCTTGCATCCTTTCTATGGCTGAAATTGGGCTGGTTTCTGCAGGAACTATGGTGTTCCTTTGCACTTAATTCGAGAGCTTTATGAGACATTTAGGAATTTCAGGATTCGTGTTGCTGATTATGTTCGTTATCGGAAGATCACTTCAAATATGAATGATCGATTTCCAGATGCGACCCCGGAAGAGCTGAATGCGTTAGTTATAATCTTACTTTAGCATTGAGTTTATGATAATATTAATGTAAATCATCATTCTTAATTGCTTCTGGTGGATATGCAGAAGTGATTCAACATGCATTATATGTCGTGAGGAGATGACCACAGCCAAGAAATTAATTTGTGGACATCTTTTTCATGTTCATTGCCTCCGCTCCTGGTTAGAGCGGCAGCATACCTGTCCAACTTGCAGAGCTCTAGTTGTACCACCTGAAGGGGGGGCAAGTACAGCTGGAGGACAACATGGACCAAGACCAGATGCTCATCATGCAGGTAATCAATCCCAGTATTACATGTCATCTGATCCTATTTAGTTTGTTAATCAGTTAATCAATCACTGTATTACATTTTGTCTGATCCTAATTATCTTTATAGGTTCTGATTTCTGGTCTTGATTATAAGCTGAAGTTGTTTGTCTTTCCTTCATGTTGGTGTATAGTTATTGCAATAATAAATAACTAAAATAAAAATAATTAAAAGCTGGAGATTTTTTCTTGGTTTTTACACTCTTAATTAGTTAATTTTGCTGACATTGACTGCTGAAATTGAAAACAGAAAACCTCAGTAGAACATATTGAAAAGTGTGGTGTTTGGGCAAAAGTTTAGTATGTGAAGTTAAAAGCAATTCTTTTACTTGTTTGCTCCTTTCATGTTTGGAAACATGGGGTTTGCTGAAGTCATGCAGTTTTTGGGACTGGCTGGACCACTGGAAAGTGCTCTTCAGTTATTCCTTTGTTATTTCTGAATTGAGGAAATGAATAAAATATATTTTGACCAACTATGTTCTTCTATTCTGAACTCTGAAAGCGTTAGAAACAAATATTTTTGAGTACCTCTGCAATTTTCTTCCCGTCTTTACCTTATGCTTTTCTGGACCAAAATGGATCTTGAGTTTTGATCAATTAAAGGATTATAAATTGAAATGAAATAACAGGATAAAGATAAATAAACCAGCACCATATAAAAAGTTATTTATTTGTTTTTCTCTGGAGGACCAGGATATACAATTCTAACTCTCTTAGGGGATTCTATCTACAAATGATATGTCCTGATTTTTGTTTAATTATAATTTTGTAATGCCCTTGGAAGTTTAGAAGCTTATTGTCCGCACACCTGTGAGGGAGTGCAGATAAATAGCACAGAATGCTTGCTTGGCCAAAAAGTATCTTGATTAGAATAATTTGTTTTTAGATTGGTTGATTTCTCGCAGACTGCCTTTGGCACCTAAAATAGTAGAGCATATATATATTATATAGAGGATGTACATATTACTTGAACTACATCTATAAGCTGTTCAAGAGTTATTTTATGTATTTGGTGTGAAACTCTATACTAATGTGTCATACTCAGTTTTCTTTACTGCAGTGCTTAAGCGAATCTTTTGGCCTTTGAATCTTTGTGGTTGATGGTTTCATTTTATTCATGATGCATATCATTTTAGCCAAGTGGGCAGCATTTGTGTTGCTTGTGCTTTAATTTAGTGAAGCCAACTAATAGATGATTTGGAAAACACTGGCTAATTGTTTTTATCTGGCAACAGGTACAGGCAATTCAACAGCAACCCAGAGTTCAGCTGATGGTTTGGCTGACAATAACTTGAGCCAGCACCAGGCCAGGCTCCAGGCTGCTGCTGCCGCTGCCTCAATATATGGGAAATCCTTTGTTTATCCTTCTCCTAACTCACCAGTGTGGTAGGTGCTGTGGTGCTAGTTAATGTCAACATTTGTATTTGACAACTGATGCATGGTGTCTACCCATTTTTATAGTGTTATAGGATTATCTTGACAATTGGGATAAATGTTCACGATTGTTTGCACACATACACACCCACCAGTCTGCAACTTAGATTGTTGTCAAATTTGTGCTCTGATTGTAAAGTAGAAATATATTTAAATTTTGAATTTGTCAATTGTTAGAGGTTGTCTATTGACTTAGTGGTTTTTCTGGATCTCTAAAGGTTTGGGTTCTGCTTCTATATCCAACTTTATTTTTCCTTTTAAAAATATGTTAGTCCCATTTGCTTGGTGTCACTAGATCTGGGTTTGTGGCTCGGTATTGGTTTGCTACTCCAACTGCTGGTTCCTGTCCAGTGTGATAATTTTATGATGAAATAAAGCAAGAGCTTGAAAAATATCTTATAATGTATGCAGGTCTCCTGGATATGTTGTACTTCCTCAGTCCTATAGGCCACTGGGTGATTCCACCAATGTGGAATCTCGTGGAGAACAAGCTTCCAGTGGACAAGAACAGTTTCAGAATCCTGGTGCATCTACGTCCTTTCCCTTTGCTCAATTTCCACATGGTTTTGTCCCTTTTCAGGCACCTGGTGCTAATGTGACATATGGAGAAAGATTGGAAGCTCAGAAGAAGTTCATCAAGCACCAGATTGAGGTACCATCCCAGCACCAATTCCATGTATTCTTGCTTTCTCATTTGAACCATGCATCTAAGGTTTCAGCAAGCAAGGTATCAGCATTAAATGGTGTTTTAGATGTGCTTATTGTGAGATTTGGAGTACCTGACATACATGAATGGGCATGACATATCATTCTATATTTGGTCATTTTGTTTCCCAAATAGGTTTTTCCGGTTGCATTAGGACATCACCTTTTAATTTAATTTTTCTTTAATTTCTTTGACTTTGTATATAAACTTGTAGTCTTTGAAACGATAACTTTTGCTCTGCCATATTTGGTTCCCCTGCCTTATTTTGCTTAATCTTCTTACAGGTCTTGCAAGACCAGCTCCAACAATTGCAAAAGTTGAAACCGGAGGCAAGTTCTGAGAAGGATTCTTCTGAATTATCAGATGGCAAAGGAAAGACTGTCGCATCTTCTTCATTGCCGGTTTCGGACTGCGGTCGTCACAGTGACAATGAAGAGACAGCTTCATAGTTTTTATTGGCAGAATTCCAGTTGTAATACAGGGAGACTTGAAGAGTTTGGATGTAGAGAAAAGATATCGGGGGACAAGAACAAATATTAGGCGTTTCTTGATTAAAAAATTAATCATCCAAGCAATGTTGTATTGGGTCGGAATCTTTTTTTTTTCCTTTTTTATACTGAACAGTACCTGGAGCCATTTCCAATATGTAAAATTGTCTTTCGCCATTGATGGAAGATGTGGATGCTTTAGTGCTAACAATTGCATACACCTTGTTCCTTATCCATCGCATAGCCATTGTTCATTAATCTGGCAACAATTAATATAATTTTAAAAAATTGTGCTTGCAGAACTTTATTCTTTAAGTAGTTACGTTTTGAAAAGAAAATTTTCCAGGTGCTAACTTAAAAATTTGGTTCTTCATGCCAAGAGTATACTATTATATGCTGGCTGCCGAAAGGTCACGATGAACTTGGGAAGCTCTGTCAATAACAAAGAAGGTTTGAGTATATTACAACTACTGAGCTTATCAAGGAAATTGTATGGTTACAAAGTTTAGTTGTTAAGCTGAGAGCAAAACATGCATAGGCATATTGGAGTTAAAAGCAATATTTTAAAACCCGGATCGGCCCGACCGGTTTAACCGGGACTCAGAAGCTGCAAGGGGCCGGGTTTATATTTTTTCTATTCACCAAAAACCCTAGGATTTGGAAGGATGATTGGCGGACAATTGACGGCCGGCATGTTAGGGCTTTTGAAGAGAAAGTGACGGTGAATGCAATGGTGGTGACGGAGTTGATTTCTGGTAAGTAAATCGATCAGAAATCGAACAAAACTAGCAGCGGCAACAACTGGCTTTTGCTAGCGATTGGCGAGGCTAACGAGGGTGGGGTGAGGTGGGTTTTGCTTAGGAGGAAGAGGGGAGTAATTTCTAGGTAATGGGGAGGGTTGTTGACGCCAGCGTCGATGAGATCTGGCCTGGAATGCCAACGTTGGTGTCAGTGAGATCTGGTCGAATCCAACCTACTTCGGCCAGATCTTGGGTATAATTAAGAGGAATGGGCTCAAGGGATGATTGGGGTTGCACTTGGGGTGTCGTCGCCATTAACCAGTCGCCGGCCGATTTGTATTTGGGGTGTGTTTGTTAAACTTTAAACCTATAGGGACTTAACTGTAATTACTAGGGGTGTATTTGCTGAATTTTAGAAGTTTTTATCAACTGGTTTGACCGTTGGTCAACCCAGGACCCGACAACTTTGCCAGGTTTCACCCCGGGTTGGGTTTTAAAACATTGGTTAAAAGTTTTGCTTAATCTGAGGAGTATTGAATTGAGGGATTGTCTTCATCCAAAAGATTCATACTAAAGAGAATCCTACTGTTATGATACAAAACCAGTAATGGAGCTAAGTTCAAAAATTGCTTGGACTTGTTGAGGTATACTAATTTTGTAGAAGCTCGAAGACATGTAAGCTATTTGATGAAGTGAAAATGCATAAACTCATGCTATCCAAGGTGGAAGATTTGTAAAAATTGGCTCAACATAAGTCAGCTAGGGCAAAATCCAAGCTGAGGTAGGCTTACAACACTTTGTGGCAAAGCTGAGCATGGAATGGCAAAGCTAGGCACGAAATGTGGAAGTTGTGCATGACAAAGAAACTTGAAGCTACTAAGACTTAACTTCTTTCAAACGATAGGAAACTCAAGTTGGACAAGTCAGCTACTAGGTTGTGGGAAAGAAGGTATAATCCAAGTAGGATTTGGAGACTTGGGATTCTTGTTGTTATAGTATTAGAATGTGTAGAGTTTGTGTCTTACTACAAAATAGGCTAGGTCTTTCTATTCTACTGAAACATTGTGAAGTCTTTACAGACTATAAACAAGGGCTTGTAACATAGTTCTAAGGGAGAGCTTAGAGTATATATAGAGACATCGACCTTCTTTTTTGGTAGATAGGCCGAGCCTTTGGGCTGATATTTAATCTATGGCACATGATCTCGAGACTTCCCCACCATATCAGCGTGGGTTCAGGCAAAAACATCCAAGTTGGCCTTTGGAAACTCAACTAGCTGTTCAGACAGTTTTTTGCCGAGGTTGCCCCCAATCTTGAGTGTGTGAGTAGGCTTTCAGTCATCGATAGGGACCTAGCCTAGTTCTCCACAAGGCCGGTTGAAGGCTCTTTCTTGTGAATACGAGGATCAATGGTATCCTGGACTGGTGCAGGCTGTGGCTCGATTCTTGTAATTACCATTGTTTGAGGTCGATTCTCTCTTTGGGCAAGTGTGATTGCTTAGTTGTAAGATTCCCTGGAATCTTTTTGCTACCCTTTGACAATTATAACTCCTATTGGAGTCAGGAACTTCATTGCTTGGCAATGAATTGGTGATGAAACGACAACAGATCTTTGTGAATGACGGCAAAGGAGATCAGGCGAGGGAAGACCAGTAGTTGGGGAGGCCAATTGACGTCAAGGAAGAGCAAAAGTCGTCAGAAAAAGGATGAAACACAATTGGAAGTCGAAACGTTGTCAGTGGTGAGGAATATGAAGCATTATGGTGGTGAAAGTGATGGATGATGACGACTGACGATGGGGAAAGGTGAAGAGTCATCGGAATAGGGAAATGGAAGGTCGCCGGCAATGAAGCTAGGTTTGGGGTGAGCAGCGGTTGCTTTTGCGTGACCTCTCACTTTCCTCTTACAATGGGGATGTCAAATATCAGTTCGGTCCCTACACAGTTTTTTTTTGACAAAATCAACCCCAAATGTAAATGACGCTCTCCAACTTACTCTTTGCTCGTCCTTGAGTAAAGTCAAATGAATTCTTTCATCATCCTCACAAACCACACACAACCATATTCATCAACAATCAAGACATTCATTAAAAGGTAAAGTGAAGAGTTTGAATAGATGAAGTAAACAACACAATCCTAAATAAAGAACTAAAGTTTTTGTCAAGATTTGCCTATCTCCACTCATGCTTCTCAAACACACATCCCATGCTCATATCATATTGTAGAAATGCAATGCAAGACTCCCAAACTTATATACATGCAACATAAAGCTCATTTTCCATACAAGATTTTGATAGATTTTCTTTTTCATTCATTAATTGTTTTCTCTTCTTTTCTTTTTCTTTTTATTGTCTTAACTTCTTAAGCTTTCTAGAAGGTTTGTATAGCGGACTTTATGTCAATCACTCCTAAACCAGATGGCTATAGGGCACTAACTGTAGAACACCCCTCAGACTTACGCACTCGAACCGACTAGGCTACAAGTCAAGACTTATTATTTTTTATAAGACTCATAATCTATATAATGACTTATTAAGCTTTCTAGAAAACCCATGTAACGAGCTTTGGGCCAACCTCTCCCAAGCAATAACTTTAGGGAATTAGGTGTAGAACACCCCTAGAGCTTACTTGCTTGAGCCAACTACGCTTCAAATCAAAACAAGATCACTAAGCAACATTTAAGCACTTTCAAAGACAAAGATTACCATTTTTATGTATACAAGATAATAAATGAAAATTTTCTCAATGGGCATGCAAAGTATGTGAAAGATTTGCATAAACATTAAAACACATGACATTCACACAAAACAGTGTCTAACCACAACTATGGACAAATCTAGCACATAACAGAAACAATAATTCAATATTTAAAACCATGTTGCAACAAACTATTTTCACAAACGTCACAAAACCTTTTAACTAGCACCTCAGTTGTTTCTAAAATGATGATTATGCATGAATTCATGAAAATTTTTAAAATAGCTCACTTTTTCCACCTTTGGATTTACAAGAGTAAGATTCAGCACATTTTCCACAAAAAATTTAAGCATAATCCATTCAACACACATTCTCCACAAAAACACACATCCTCTATTCTCACATCATTAATCAACACAATCAATCAACATACACCAGTCAACACTCCATTCAAAACATACATCCTTCGCAATACACATCAACACATCCTTCACAAAACAAGCTCAATCAATACTCCCCAACTTCAAATGTCATTTTCCTCAATGACTCACAAAAAACAAAATCATTCTCCTCAACTTAGCATTAAGTGATCTCAAATGGCAACAAAAACCAATCCAACAATAACAACATAAAGGGTGGAAAGATACAACCTGAGGAGCAATGACGAGATTATCACCAACAGGAGCTGCCAAGCATGTTGAGGACTATTCAATGACCAGACCACATGAGCACTCAACCACAACACATATATGGAAAATCCTACAAAGACAAAAACAAAAAAGACATTAAAGCAATAAAGAAGTATTTAAAAGGTAGGTTGTCTCCCCTAAGCGCGAAGTTTAAAGTCTTTAGCCACACTTAGTGCACTTAGATGACTATGGTGGTTGAAATATTAGTGGTGCACTACATAACCATCGCAAATAAGAAAAAGGTTCTAATACTAGTGGTGATTCAATTGATTGAAACTTTGGTATCTTAGACAATGATGATAAATACTCAAACATAATGGTCCAGGGCCTACCTACTGAAGTGGACGGGCCATCTAAATATGCACCAACCTCCTGGATTTCAGATGAAGCACTCATACTTACTACATCCTCAACAGATGGCTTCAAACAAGTGTAAACAATGTCCTCAGGCAACAACTATGGAGTATGACCCTCCACTAGACCGTTGATGGACTCAACCATGAAACACTCATTAACATCCTCATACACTGGTCCTAAGCTAGCTTTAAACACATTAAGCCTAAGTTTCCTATTCCCGAATGACACCTCAATCTCAGCTGACCTACAATTAATGCAAGCATTAATAGTTGCTAGAAAGGTCTACCTAAGATAATTGGGGGCATGCTACCACTGCTGGTATATTCCATGTCTACGACAAGGAAATCCACAAAAAAAATATAAGTCTTTAACCTTTACCAACACATTTTCAATCAGGTCCTTAAGCATCTTAACTAAACGATTACCTAACTACAGGATGACTTCGATAGACTTAAGTTTATCTAGATTAAATTGCTCATATACCAAAGTAGGCAATAGATTTACACTTGCTCCTAAGTTAAGGAGTGCTCTCTCAATAGTGATGTTACCTATTACAAGAAATAATAGGAGCACTAGGATCTTTTAACTTTAAGGGAAGGCGATTTGAAACAATTAGTCTTAGGTGTGTGAGACTTAATTCGCCTCTTTATGGACACAAGTCTTTTGGGAACTTTACATAGATAGGAATTTATTTAATGGCTTCTAACAATTGGATGTTAATTTGCAC